GAAAAACTGAGGGAGAAGAGAAACATTGGAATACTAGTCAGTACCAGTGTGCAAAAGTGTATTTGCTTTGGAAGAATAAATCCCCTCTAATGTTGGGTGTCCTCCATGTGTGGATATTGCTACGTTATATAAAACTATTAGAATAGTTTTTCACAATAATTTTTAAGTGTGCCTCAGGACTGTCCATAATTTTAAATGGTGCCTTCACTTATAAAAGGTTGAGAAACCCTGGTCTAGGGCATTGTGATGATTTAAGAAAGCTATGTACAGTGCTCTGCTGGCCCCTCCCACCAGCCACAATCTACCTTTATTGCATAAGGAAGCACAAAGACCCAGTGATGACATCACTGGCCTTTCTCACCAGTCAAAATCTGCCTGCATTGCATAGTGAAGCACAAAGACCCAGTGATATCATCACTGGGTCTAAAATAAGGTATAACATGAACATGGAAAGGTTTTATTCAAATATGTCATTGGCATGTACACCCAGCGGCCACTTTTTTAGGTACACCTTGCTAGTACCGGGTTGGACCCCTTTTGCCTTCAGAACTGCCTTAATTCGTGGAATAGATTCAGCAAGGTGTTGGAAATATTCCTCAGAGATTTTGGTCCATATTGACATGATATCATCACGCAGTTGCTGAAGATTTGTCGGCTGCACATCCATGATGCAAATCTCCCGTTCCACCACATCCCAAAGGTCTTCTATTGGATTGAGATCTGGTGACTGTGGAGGCCATTGGAGTACAGAGAACTCATTGTCATGTCCAAGAAACCAGTCTGAGATGATTTGATCTTTGTGACATGGTGCTTTATCCTGCTGGAAGGAGCCATCAGAAGATGGGGACACTGGAGCAGGGGCGGACTGACAACTCATGGGGCCCCCGGGCAATAGGGAATCATGGGGGCCCTGTGTCCTTGCCCCCGAACTCAAAAAAAGCCTATAAAAAAGGTACCAGGGGCATCTCATGGGGCCCCCTACTGACCCTGGGCCCTCAGGCAGTGCCCGAGTTTCCAAATGGTCAGTCCGCCCCTGCACTGGAGTCATAAAGGGATGGACATGGTCAGCAACAATACTCAGGTAGGCCGTGGCATTTAAATGTTGCTGAATTGGTACTAAGGGGCCCAAAGCGTGCCAAGAAAATCTCCCCCACACCATTACACCACCAGCCTGAACCATTGATACAAGGCAGGATGGATCCATGCTTTCATGTTGTTTATGCCAAATTCTGACCCTACCATCTGAATGTTACAGCTGAAATCAAGACTTATCAGACCAGGCAATGTTTTTCCAATCTTCTATTGTCCAATTTTGGTGAACCTGTGCGGATTGTAGCCTCTGTTTCCTGTTCTTAGCTGACAGGAGTGGCACCTGGTAGGGTCTTGTGCTGCTGTAGTCCATCTGCTTCAAGGTTCGACGTGTTGTGCTTTCAGAGATGGTATTCTGCATACCTTGGTTGTAACAAGTTATTTGTGTCATCTCAGACTAGTCTGCCCATTCTCCTCTGACCTCTGACATCAACAAGGCATTTTAGTCCACACAACTGCCGCTCACTAGATATTTTCTCTTTTTTTGTCCCCCCAGATCATTCTCTATAAACCCTAGAGATGGTTGTGCATGAAAATCCCAGTAGATCAGCAGTTTTTGAAATACTCCGACCAGCTGGACTGGCACCAACAACCATGCCATGTTCAAAGTCACTTCAATCCCTTTTCTTCTCGGTTTGAACTTCAGCAAGTTGTCTTCACCACGTCTAGATGCCTAAATGCATTGAGGTGCTGGCATGTGATTGGCTGATTAGCAATATGTGTTACCAACCAATTGAACAGGTGTACCTAATAAAGATGTCAGTGAGTGTAGATGAGGGGTAAAAGGAGGAAGTAGGGAAGGCATATATATATACAGGGCGGCAGGGCTGCGCAAAATCACGTATATGTACGTGATTTGCATTTCCGGTTAGGGAAATTGGCGGCTAGAGATGTCAATCACCGTGGTTCCAGCTGGTGATTCCTGGCCATGCACTCGGCGATCGTCGGGGAAAGCTGACGGGAGAGACCTGTGTGTAAACAACACAGGTTTCTCTCCTGTCTGCATGGACAGGACATGCTGCTTTTTATCTCTCTGCACAGCATGTCTTCCTAGTAAAACACAACACAGCACACAGTTAACCCTCTGATCACCCCAAATGTTAACCCCTTCCTGCCCAGTGTCATTACTACAGTGTCAGTGATTTTTATTAGCACTGATCACTGTATTAGTGTCAATGGGGATGTCAGTTTCAGTTAATCAGTTCCCCCCCAGTGTCAGAATGCCCGCTGCAGTCCTGGAGTCTCGCTTTAAGTCGCTGATCGCTGCCATTATTAGAATAAAAAAAAATTTAAATCAAAATCTCAGTATATACACCGCCATTTGTAAACGCTATAACTGTCACGTAAACTAATTAATTTACACGTATTGGGATTTTTTCTAGCAAAGACATGGAGCAGAATACATTTTGGCCTAAATTTCTGAAGAAATGTTATTTTTAAAATGTTTTTTATTGCATATGTTTTATAGCAAAAAGTCAAAAATATATATATATTTTTTTTACCAAAATTGTCGGTCTTGTTTTGTTTATAGCACAAAAAATAAAAACAGCAGAGGCGATCAAATAGCATTGAAAGAAAGCTCTATTTGTGGGAAAAAATGACCCAAATTTCATTTCGGTGCAGCGTTGCATGACCAGCGTTGCATGACCAGCGTTGCGCAATTGTCTGTTAAAGTAATGCAGCGCCGAATTGAAAAAAATGGCCTGGTCAGGAAGGGGGGGAAATCCTCTGGAGGGCAAGTGGTTAATATAAAAAAGAGCTCATTTTAATTACTCTGTGCAATGATATTGCACAGAGCTGCCCCTTACCTCCTCTTCTAGCAGTTCCCCCACTGGCGCCGCCAGCTCCTGCTTCCTCCAGCTGCCTCCAAAGCAAGCCGGTTGCTAAGCAGGTGTCTGTGTATGCACGCTCCTAAGCTGATCTCTGTGCATCCATAGACGTACACAGCGTTGATAAGCCATGCCCCGCTCCCTCCTCACAGGAGTATGACTGACAACAGCAGGAGCCTATGGTTACCCGTGCCCTCAGTGTCTCCTGTGAGACCAGGAAGTGAGAGGAGCGGTGCTGGAGCCAAGGCTGTGCTGGAACATGGATGTATAACCCCCGATTCACACCTGTGCGGCCCACGGTTTGCACGGGCATGAGAGCCCATTCATTTGAATGGACTCCCGTGCCCGTGACACGCAGGGAAACAAGTCCCTGCACTTCTTTGGAAAACACAGCCCGCACAGGAACCTCGGTTCCCAGTACGGTTGCGTTTTCCAGTGCAGGCGGCGTACCATTAGAACTAATCGCACCCACCCGCGGGTCCGCATTCCTCTGTGCGGGTGGTGCGGCTGCACGGATTTTCGTGCGGATCCGCAGTGGCACCGCCCGCACAGATGTGAACCTAGGGTAAGTGTTTAGGGATGGGGGTGGGGAGGACAGGCAGTGGGGCATTTTCTTACCTTAATGCAGAAAATCCATTAAAGTAAAAAAAATTGTACGCTTTAGAATCACTTTAAACCGCATGTGTAAAATCTCCAGTAGTGTGCTGGGACTTGCAGTCGTCCTCCATCTTGGATGCTGGACTTTGCCAGCTTGTATTCTGGGCTTCTGTAGGCTGCAAAGAGTGGAGAATTAATCAAGAATTTTGCATTGCTGCCAGCGCCATGCGGGAATAATCTGAGGATTCTAATTGCAGAGATTAGGGAACATGTCAGAGTTTTAGCTGCTCTCTGAGAATTGCTTTGACAGCGGTCCAAAGCGGCTCCAAATCTCCATGTATTAGAATAAAAAGACACAAGGCCATCCAGCTCCCATCAGTGCAACCCAGAGACAAAAGAGGGACCGTCAGTGACCAGTGTATAAGCAGGGACCAGTGCACAAGCAGGGACCTGTGCACAAGCAGGGACGGTGCACATGCAGGGACCGGAGCACATGCAGGGACCGGAGCACAAGCAGGGACCGGTGCACAAGCAGGGACCGGTGCACAAGCAGGGACCGGTGCACAAGCAGGGACCGGTGCACAAGCAGGGACCGGTGCACAAGCAGGGGGCACAAGCAGGGACCGGTGCACAAGCAGGGACCGGTGCACAAGCAGGGACCTGTGCACAAGCAGGGACCGGTGCACAAGCAGGGACCTGTGCACAAGCAGGGCACAACCGTGCACAAGCAGGGACCTGTGCACAAGCAGGGACCGGGCACAAGCAGGGACCTGTGCACAAGCAGGGACCGGTGCACAAGCAGGGACCGGTGCACAAGCAGGAGACCGGTGCACAAGCAGGGACCGGAGCACAAGCAGGGACGGTGCACATGCAGGTGCACAAGCAGGGACTGTGCACAAGCAGGGACCGTTGCACAAGCAGAGGACCGTGTGCACAAGCAGGGACCGGAGCACAAGCAGGGACCGGTGCACAAGCAGGGACCGCACACAAGCAGGACCGGAGCACAGCAGCAGAGACCGTTGCACAAGCAGGGACCGGAGCACAAGCAGGGACCGGAGCACAAGCAGGGACCGGTGCACAAGCAGGGACCGGTGCACAGCAGCAGGGACGGGGACAGCTGACATTATAGAGAGGAAGGCAAGTCATGGCCGTCATTATTTTCCATGCAAGGTGTGCACCCTTTAAAGCCAATCTCCGAGATCGATTGCTTCTTTCACTTTCTCCTCCCCATATACAGAATACAAATAAAAACACTCTCTTCTATGACAGTTTTGAAGCATCGCTCCACTTACAGGGATCTTTGAGTTTCAGGTGAAGCTTGGTATTAGCTGCTTTGTTATTGTGTCTCCAACAGATCAGAGATTTCCCTTCTACGATTCTTTCCCATTTCTTTGTGTCCTCACCCTCCTTTGGGTGCTCTGGCTTACATTCTTCTTATTATAAGGTATGTGGAACTCTAGAAAGGATGGTGGGAACCCCTCATAATGGGCACAGCGGGTGTACAGACCTGGGAATCCAGCATAGGGATGGTGGGGACCCCTAATAAAGGGCACAGTGGGTTTACAGACCCAGGAACTCGGCACAGGGATGGTGGGAACCCCTCATAATGGGCACAGCAGGTGTACAGACCTGGGAACTCAGTGCAGAATGGTGGAAACCCCTCATAATAGGCAATGCAGGTGTACAGACTTGGGAATTCAGTACAGTGATGGTGAGAACCCTGTATATTGGGCACATCAGGTGTACAGACTTGGGAACTCAGCATAGGGATGGTGGGGACCCCTCATAATGGGCACAGCAGGTGTACGAACTCAGATACTCAGCACAGGGATGGTGGGAACCCCTCATAATGGTCAGAGCAGGTGTACAGACCTGAGAACTCACCACAGGGATCTTACTACGAGAGTTCTTGAAGAGACTGTCAGGGTGTTGGCAATTGGGTGGAGTGACCCTTTAAAAATGAATATATGTAACAAATAAAAGGGGGTAGATGACACAGACGGGTAGTGTTAATGGTGGCTGTTCGGTTGTTGTCAGCCCAAGAAATACAGTTGCAAGAAAAAGTATGTGAACCCCTTGGGATTACGTGGAGTTTTGCATGAATTGGGCTTAAAATGTGCTCTGAACGTCATCTAAGTCACAACAATAGAAGAACACAGTCTGCTGAACATAATACTACACAAACATTAGATGTTGCCATGGTTTAATTGCACATAACATGTAGACATTCACAGTGCAGGGAGGAAAATATGTGAGGCCCTAGCTTAATGACTTCTCCCAGAGCTAATTGGACGGGAGTGAGCCAACCTTGACTCCAATCAGTGTGATGATATTGGATGTGTTGCTGACAGCTGTCCTGCCCTAAAAAAACACACACCTGTTTTGGGTTTACTGTTTCAAGAAGCACTGTCTGATGTGAACCATGCCTCGCAGAAAAAGAGCTCTCAGAAGACCTACGATCAAGAATTGTTGACTTGCATGAAGCTGGAAAGGGTTACAAAAGTATCTCCAAAAGCCTTGAAGTTCATGTGTCCACGGTAAGACAGACTGTCTACAAATGGAGAAAGTTTAGCGCTGTTGCTACTCTCCCTAGGCGGGGTCGTCCTGTAAAAATGACTGCAAGAGCACAGCACAGAATGCTGCATGAGGTAAAGAAGAATCCCAGAGTGTCAGCTAAAGACCTACAGAAATCTCTGGCACATGCTAACATTTTTGTTGACACATCTACAATAAGGAAAACAGTAAACAAGAATGGAGTACATGGGAGGACACCACGGAGGAAGCCATTGCTGTCCAAAAAGAATATTGCAGCACGTTTGAAGTTTGCAAAAGAGCACCTGGATGTTCCACAGCACTACTGGCAAAATATACTGTGGACAGATGAAACCAAGATTGAGTTGTTTGGGGGAAGAACACCCAAACACTATGTGTGGAGAAAAAAAAGGCACAGCACACCAACATCAAAACCTCATCCCCACTGTAAAACATGGCGGAGGGAGCATCATGGTTTGGGGCTGCTTTGTTGCCTCAGGGCCTGGACGGATTGTTGTCATTGATGGGAAAATGAATTCCAGAGTTTATCAAGACATTTTGCAGGAAAACGTACGACCATCTGTCCGCCAACTGAAGCTCCGCAGAGGATGGGTGATGCAACAGGACAATGACCCAAAGCATACAAGTAATTCAACAAAACAATGGCTGCAACAGCACAGAATACGCCTTCTGGAGTGGCCCAGTCAGAGTCCTGACCTCAACCCGATGGAAATGCTGTGGCATGACCTTAAGAGAGCGATTCACACACATCCCAAGAATATTGCTACACTGAAACAGTTTTGTGAAGAGGAGTGGTCCAAAATTACTCCAGATCGTTGTGCTGGTCTGATCTGCAACTACAGAAACGTTTGGTTGAGGTTATTGCTGCCAAAGGAGGGTCAACCAGTTATTAAGTCCAAAGGTTCACATACTTTTTCCTCCCTGCACTGTGAATGTTTACATGTTATGTGCAATTAAACCATGGCAACATCTAATGTTTGTGTAGTATTATGTTCAGCAGACTGTGTTCTTCTATTGTTGTGACTTAAATGACGTTCAGAGCACATTTTATGCCCAATTCATGAAAAACTCCACCTAATCCCAAGGGGTTCACATACTTTGTCTTGCAACTGTACAGCACCTTAGGGGTTACACTGCCATCTCTGTCGCCCGTGCTTTCATTTTGGGGCTCACAGTCTGAATGCGCCATTGTGCAGGATTAATTGTGCGGTTATTGATTGTGATGCACTTCCCCGTCTTTTGTAAAAGGGTAATGGGAATGGTGTATGACGGATGGGATCGCATTGTCGCTGCCTTTCAGCTTTTCATTCTGTGTTTTAAATGGAGTCATTCCGCCGATTGGCGATATAAAGTGCACCGGAGCGAACGTCAGTGCTTTGTTTTTGTTTTTTTAATGGCAGCTTCATGTGAAGGCAGACTGGGCAGGAGCCTAAGGCGGTTCTCTGCAGGAGGGGGGGACAGATCATCCTATACATGGAATCTGCTATGTGTGTAATGGAAATGGATCAGATGCAATGTACACAGAATGCATTCGGGAGAAGGTTGACGTCTAATGGTCCTCTGTAATGCCGACCCCAACCTGACATTGTCCAGTGCTGCTGGTGCCTGATCCACCTTCAGGTCTCCATAATGACATGTTAGATCTTGATTTACTTTCCTCGCACTCTGTGCCTTATTCCTTCCTATAATCTCTGATCTCTAGCCTTCCATTCAGTCTTGTATAGGCTCCTGTCTTGTATTGAAATGGCTTACTCTGATATCACTGCACACTGTGAGTGTCTTGCAGTGTGCATTAGACGATGCAGATAGAGTCCGCTTCATTTCCTGGATGGTTTTGCAGTGAAACGCATTTACCTTTTTTGACCGCGACACAAATGGATCTCAATAGGACTGGCATCATCCAAGGAATTGCAGTACAGGTTGAAATGCCATCAGAATGGTCATCATCAATGCAACCAGGGGGGTCCCTAGGGTTGGTGTCACCCGGTACGGTAACACTTGGTGTCACCCCTTCGACGATCCCCGCAGGATGGATCGGATCTGCGGATTGAGCATAATGGATACAGGGTTAACTGATCTCTCCACGAGCTGCACGAAAAGGAAAGTTTTAAAGCAAGCCGAAGATCCCTGCAGGATGGATCAGAGCTGCGGATTGGGGAGCATAATGGATCGGACTCCGATCCATTATGCTCAATCCGCAGATCCGATCCATCCTGCAAGGATCACCGGCTTGCTACCTATACGGGGTTAACTGATCTCTCCACGAGCTCCACGAAAAGGAAAGTTTTAAAGCAAGCCGACGATCCCCGCAGGATGGATGGGATCTGCGGATTGGGGAGCATAATGGATTGGACTCTGATCCATTAAACTCAATCCACAGATCCGATCCATCCTGCGGGGATCATCGGCTTGGTACCTATACGGGGTTAACTGAGCGCTCCACGAAAAGGAAAGTTTTAAAGCAAGCCGACGATCCCTGCAGGATGGATCAGAGCTGCGGATTGGGGAGCATAATGAATCGGACTCCGATCCATTATGCTCAATCCACAGATCCGATTCATCCTGCGGGGATCATCGGCTTGCTTTAAAACTTTCCTTTTCGTGGAGCTCGTGGAGAGGGTCTGGTGTCACCCTGTGCGATAGGTGTCACCCGGTGTGGCGCGATCCCCCCCGAACCTGCCTACAGACGCCACTGAATGCCACTCAGATGCAGCTTAGTGCAAGTTCTTCAGAAACTAGAAGGCATGTCAAAGCAACTCAATTACAAATCATTTTAGAAGCTTGTGAAAGAAGATTGCATCTGACTTGCTTCTGAGACAGGAGCCCACCTAATAGACTCCTGATGTCTCCATAAAATGTACCTGTCATCTGCCCAAAGTTATTGATAGCTATTGGTAACAATAAAGTTCAATTTAAAAAAAAAAATAAAAAGTGTAAAAATACATTTAAATAAAATAAATAAAAATAATTTACATGCGTATGTACATGGTGATTGCACCACACGTGAGGTATCACTGCAAAAGGCAGACTGAGAGCAAATATTCTATGGCCATAATTCATGATTAAGTAGAAACCGATAACCCGTAAAAGATTCTAAAGCAATACCTGTGGATAGTTTTAGGTACCGTAGTTTGTCGCCATTTAACCACTTCCAGTCCGGACACTTTCACCCCCTTCCTGTCCAGGCCAATTTTCAGATTTCAGCGCTATCACACTTTGAATGACAATTGCGCGGTCATGCAACACTGTACCTGTATGAATTCTTTAGCATTGTTTTGAGACAGATAAAATTTTATTTTGGTGGTATATATTAACCACTGGAATTTTTTTTTTTATATAAATGAAAAAGTCTAAACATTTTGAAAAAAAAGTTTTTCTTTTAAAATTTTGCAAATAAATCATCTTTCTTCATAAATCTTGGCCAAAATTTATTCAGCTATCTTTTTAGTTTTAAAAAAAAAAAAAAAAAACCCAAAGTAGTTTATAACCAAAAATTATAATTTTTCTAATTTAAACATAGTGTCTCCCTAGCAGTACAGTGTCTCCATAGTGACACTGTACTACTTGTGGGGGGTTATTTCATTTTTTTTTTTGTACACTGATTGCTTTTACACCCATAAAGGCTGTAAAAGCAATCATTTCTGCTTCTCTCTGGCTGAATTCTTGCATCTATAGAGAACTACAGTGTGAGCTGTGATTTGAACACAGCTTGTCACGTTACAAGGCTGTTGTGAACCAGCCTTGAACCATGTGACCTCTGTGAATATTCACAGATTTCACACATAGTAAGCAATGATGTCAGGAAGTGACATCTTGCTTACTACTATTCGTGTGATCACTGATTGGCCAATCAGTGATCACATGATCGGGACCTCACACAGAGGTCCTGTACAGCAATCGGTGTTCTGCTGTGTCACAGGGAGCGTGCACAGGCAGGGAAGCGGAAGGACGTTTATCATTGGCACCCGCCCCTGCACTGCTTCCGTGTGGCCGTTTATGTACATGGGCCTGATGGGAAGTGGTAAATGGGCACACACAATTTTTAAATCTTGACATGTTTGGTATCTGTTTACTCGACGCAACACCATCTTTTATATCTTACCATAAAACTGGATACTTTACTGTGTGAAATAAAAAAAATTACAGCAGCCATCATTTTATTCTCCAGGGTTTCTGCTTGCAGAAAAGATATAATCTTTGAGGGTTCTAAATAATCGTTTTAGTAAAAAAGGCTGATGTTGATGTGAAAATTGCCCCGGATGGCAGATGGTTAAGGCTTTATTGCTTGAAAACACAA